ACTTGGTATTTTACTGCCCATTTAAGTTTATAGAACTGAGTTCAAACTGAACTCAAAAAATCGGCGAATTTCAAAATGTGTTCAATTTTAACTTATTTATATAATAAGTCATTCTTGAATTGTTTTTTATTGAGCCGAATATAAATCGAGTTCAAATAATTTTATTTGTTTTACCATCTTAACTTAAATAGATATGCCAAGAAAATGATTATTAAATTAAATATGAATTTATCAAAATAAAAATATATCAAGGCACCGTGGTGAATTTTTAAAATAAAATTTTCTCCTTTTTCATAAGTCCAATACTCAAATCTACAACATAACTTGCCTTATCTAAAAAATAACTAACAAGATTGTGGAACACAAATTATTAAAGGCAAATAGAAAAATAATGACGAAAGATGGAAAACCATGTGAAGAGCTGATGACAAAAAGGTGCTTAGTTAATAATTAAGCAATACAATAAATATTTCAAAAGAATATGGCGATATGCAATTATCAATTTGCTTGTCTATGGCTTTTCATTTCTGCTCATACATGATTTAAGCATGCATTTGGAAATTGTTGCAATTATCAATTGTTGCTTATCCACAATTTTGTAACAGTCACTAACTACATGTGTTGTAAATTACTTTGCAGGTTGCTTTCCCCGTCTTGAAGGATTTGAAAATTCAGGGATTGCCTAACATAATAGAGATATGGGACCGGCAATTACTCATAGTCTCAGAAGAAGAATCAAAGTCCTTCTGCCAACTGAAAGATATGATGGTTTCTAATTGTAAGAAATTGGTACACGTGGTCCAGTTCAATATGCTCTCACGACTGCAAAATCTGGAAACATTCAACGTAGATGATTGTCCAAAGATGGAAGCGATAGTCTCGGAGAAAGGAAAAGAAGGAACCACCAGTAATGATCTCATCGTGCTCTCTCAATTAACAACTCTGCATCTATCTGAGTTGGTGAGCCTTAAAAGTTTCTACAACTGGCCTACAAGATCTGAAGTACAACCGTTGTTCAACCACAAGGTTTGAGTTTCCTAATTCATTTTATTAACCCTGGCCATGGGAAAGCGTGCACAAAAAAAAAATTAAAATTACTTTTCAAATACAATTTTAAATTTCAAGCTTATTTGAATATTCTCTTTCTATCCAAATCCAAATAAAAGTAAAATAATTTCATGGTGGATATGCTAGGGGTCTACGATAGAAATTACAATATTAGCCAAACAAAAATATGCATGAATTCTAAATTTAACACTATTTTTTTTTTTATTTTGAATATGAATCTTAATTTGATTTTATTGGACTAAAATATAAATAAGTTTGTCTTCTTTACCATTTCAACCGAACCCAAACCAGTATTAATCGAGCGGAGTTGAAGCAATTTGGTATTTTATTGCCCATTTAACTTTATAGAACTGAGTTCGAACAGAACTTAAAAAATCGGCGAATTTCAAAACGTGTTCAATTTTAACTTATTTTTATAATAAGTCGTTGAATTGTTTTTTTATTGAGCCGAATATAAATCGAGTTCAAATAATTTGATTTGTTTTACCATCTTAACTTAAATAGATATGCCAAGAAAGTGAATATTAAATTAAATAAGAAATTATCAATATAAAAATTTATCAAGGCACTGTGGTGAATTTTTAAAATAAAATTTTCTTCTTTTTCATAACTCCAATACTCAAATCTAAAGCATAATTTTCCTTATCTAAAAAATAACTAATAAGATTACGGAACACAAATTATTAAAGGCAAATAGAAAAATAATGACGAAAGATGGAAAACCATGTGAAGAGCTGATATCAAAAAGGTGCTTAGTTAATAATTAAGCAATAGAATAAATATTTCAAAAGAATATGGCGTTATGAAATCATCAATTTGCCTTCCTAATACTTTTCATTTCCGCTCATACACGATTAAAGGATGCGTTTGGAAACTGTTGCAATTATCAATTGTTGCTTATCCACAATTTTGTAATAGTCACTAACTACATATGTTGTAAATTACTTTGCAGGTTGCTTTCCCCGTCTTAGAGGATTTGGAAATTGAGGAATTGCCTAACATAATAGAGATATGGGACAAGCAATTAGTCATAGCCTCAGAAAATGAATCAAAGTCCTTTTGCCATCTAAAAGATATGAGGGTTTCTAATTGTGAGAAATTGGTACATGTGGTTCAGTTCAATATACTCCCACGACTGCAAAATCTGAAAAAATTCAACGTAGATAATTGTCCAAGGATGGAAGCGATAGTCTCAGAGAAAGAAAAAGAAGAAGGAACCACCAGTAATGATATCATCATGTTCTCTAAATTAAAAACTCTTAATCTTTCTGAGTTGGTGAGCCTTAAAAGTTTCTACAACTGGCCTACAAGATCTGAAGCACAACCCTTGTTCAACCACCAGGTTTGATTTTCCTTTTTTATTTCTTTAGCCCTTGCCATGGGAAAGCGTGCGCACAGAAAAAAAAATCCTTTTCCATTACAATTTTAAATTTGAAGCTTATTTTAATATTCTCTTTCTATCCAAATCCAAATAAAAGTAAAATAATTGCAAGGTGGATATGCTAGGGGTCTACGATGGAAATTACAATATTAGCCAAACAAAAAGATATATGAATTCTAATACACCACATTTTTATTTTGAATATGAATCGTAATATGATTTTATTTGACTAAAATATATATAAGTTTGTCTTCTTTACCATTTCAACCGAACCCAAATGAGTTTTAATATAATTGAGTTAAAGCAACTTGGTATTTTATTGCCCATTTAAGTTTATAGAACTGAGTTCAAACTGAACTGAAAAAATAGGCGAATTTCAAAATGTGTTCAATTTTAACTTATTTATATAATAAGTCATTCTTGAATTGTTTTTTATTAAGCCGAATATAAATTGAGTTCAAATAAATTGATTTGCTTTACCATCTTAACTTAAATAGATACGTCCGGAAAATGAATATTAAATTAAATAAAAAATTATCAAGACACAATGGTGAATTTTTAAAATAAAATTTTCTTGTTTTTCATAGGTCTAATACTCAGATCTGCAACATAATTTGCCTTGTCTAAAAAATAACTAATAAGATTATGGAACACAAATTATTAAAGGCAAATAGAAAAATAATGTTGAAAGATGGAAAACAATGTGGAGAACTGATATCAAAAAGGTGATTAGTTAATAGTAAACCAATAGAATAAATATTTCAAAAGAATATGGCAATATGAAATTATCAATGTGCCTGCCTATAGCTTTTTATTTCCGCTCATACACGATTAAAGCATGCGTTTGGAAATTGTTGCAATTATAAGTTGTTGCTCATCCACAATTTTGTGACAGTCACTAGCTACATGTGTTGTAAATTACTTTACAGGTTGCTTTTCCCGTTTTGGAGGACTTGGAAATTCAGAAATTGCCTAACATAATAGAGATATGGGACGAGCAATTACTCCTAGCCTCAGAAAAAGAATCAATGGCCTTCTATGAATTGAAAGATATGATGGTTTTTAACTGTGAGAAATTGGTACATGTGGTCCAATTCAATATGCTCCCACGACTGCAAAATTTGAAAAAATTGAACGTACATATTTGTCCAAGGATGGAAGCGATAGTCTCGGAGAAAGAAAAAGAAGACGGAACCACCAGTAATGATATCATCGTGTTCTCTCAATTAACAACTCTTAATCTTTATGAGTTGGTGAGCCTTAAAAGTTTCTACAACTGGCCTACAAGATCTGAAGCACAACCCTTGTTCAACCACCAGGTTTGATTTTCCTTTTTTATTTTTTTAACCCTTCCCATGGGAAAGCGTGCGTACAGAAAAAAAAAATTCCTTTTCCATTACAATTTTAAATTTGAAGCTTATTTGAATATTCTCTTTCTATCCAAATCCAAATAAAAGTAAAATAATTGCAAGGTGGATATGCTAGGGGTCTACGATGGAAATTACAATATTAGCCAAACAAAAATATATTTGAATTCTAATACACCACATTTTTATTTTGACTATGAATCGTAATCTGATTTTATTTGACTAAAATATATATAGGTTTGTCTTCTTTACCATTTCAACCGAACCCAAACGAGTTTTAATATAATGGAGTTGAAGCAACTTGGTATTTTATTGCCCATTTAAGTTTGTAGAACTAAGTTCGAACTGAACTCAAAAAATCGGCAACTTTCAAAATGTGTTCAATTTTAACTTATTTATATAATAAGTCATTCTTGAATTGTTTTTTGATGAGCCGAATATAAATCGAGTTCAAATAATTTGATTTGCTTTACCATCTTAACTTAAATAGATATGTCAGGAAAATGAATATTAAATTAAATAAAAAATTATCAAGACACACTGGTGAATTTTTAAAATAAAATTTTCTTGTTTTTCATAGGTCTAATACTCAGATCTGCAACATTTATTTACAATTAGTACATGAATCTAGAGCATGTAAAAGAAATCATTGAATCACAACAAATAAGGCCCTCAAGGGCTTACAAGTTGCAAGGCAACAGCCCGGTTACACATAATGGTCTCTCGGGCCCAAACACATTAGCCCTTGGCTTACAACAAATATGAAAACAAAATAAGAGTCAAACTACTCTTCTTCAAAACATCTCCACGCCCTTTGCTTGGTGGGGTCACCACATCTTTACCTGCATCGATTCCCATAGGGGTGAGCGTAAAGCCCAGTAGAGATTCCTCACAAAGTATATACAGTTATGCCAATTCCATCAACGTTAAAAAAAAATGTATATGGAATGCCATGAAATTCCATACCTCATAACATTTCTCAATTTTTTGAATACCTCTACAACAATGTCACATTCACATTCTCATATTCTCCTCCCAATGTTCATTCACAAGATTAACATGTATCATCAACACACAGTTACAATTTCTCGTTTCAAATGCCATAACAATTTAGTCTCTTCAAGACTACAAGTGACATATTTCAAATACAAACCCCCATTGTTTACAATTTCCACCATCTATGGTTTTCAACAATTAGTCACACCACAACCTTACTTTTTCAAGTATTAGCAAGATATTAAATTAACACCTCATTCTCATATATCAAGTAAATTTTCTATTTTGCTAAACATTGAAGAAACTCACTCTTATTCATCCTTTTAACATGAGAAAATAAGGAATTTCAAAGACATTTCCCATTTTACCAAAATCCCTAAATGTCTAGGGGTTTTATTAAAAACAAGTTTTCCTCATCTCCTAACAGAAACTCCATCAAAATCATCTTTCATGAGTCTATTAGAGTGAAAAACCCTCAAGAAGTTGTAAAATAGCTTGAGATACAAACCCACATGCAAAAATCTCTACATTTTAAACAAAATCTATACTTGACAAAAAACTCCAAGAACACTTTTAACTCAACATTTATATGACAAAACTTGTATATATATAACTCAAGAAATCCTTACCTCAAAGCCTTTGAGAAGATGGAGAAGAGAAACCCTAGCTTAGATGGATGAGAGAGCTTTGATTTCTACCCACCAAGTGAAGCCCTAGCCTTGGATCTTCAAGATTTGAGGGAAAATGTTGATGATCTTGTTCCAAGAATCACAAGAATCAAAGAGTTTTGGCTGATTGAGGTGTTTTCTATAGAGAAGGAGGAGAGAAATTAGGTTTTGGATGAGAGGAAAATGAGTTAGAGATGATATATATTCGGACCAAAACGTTATAAGAAAATAGGGCACGGACTGCCCAGTTGGCCGCTCGTGCGGCCTTCTATACCGCTCGTGCGGCTACTTTGACTGCTCGTGTGGCCCACTTATCGGCTCGGGCGCTCTAGACAGAATCAAAAATTGTAACGCCCTCAAAATTAAACCCATTATATATATATATCATTGACAAAGAAAACATTTTATTAATTCATTCATCAGAGTATTACTAAATAATCGAATAAAATGCCCTACAGGCTTACATCTTTCCAAGCCAACACTTGGATACAAAAATACGAGTTCTAACTCAATACAAGAAAAGCCCTAGGCTTGAGTGTTTACATGTACTAACAAATAAAAGCAAACAACAGAAAAATAGTCTTCAGAATCCAAGTCCTTCCAAGCTAAGTCCTTGGAGGTAGCTTATCCCCTGAACCTGAAAATGATGTTCCCATAAAGAGTGAGCCACAGCCCAGTAGAAATATACTAAACCAAATATAAGCAATGAATAAAGCAATAGCATTCAACAGATGGTCAACCAAAATAATCAATTACTTCATTTTACAGTCTCACGACACTATTGCCAAAGATACGTTTTACTTTCCAATTTAATCAACATGGTTCAGAACCTGGCCAAACTTATAACAGTGAATCACATATATCATATTCACATCCTTCCAATATCAACAAACAAATGAGACTCAAGCTCAAATCAAACACTTCATACTTCCATTCCAGATTGATACACATTTTAGTGCTGTATCAATAAAAACACTTATATATAAATAAGCACACATAAAAGTGATGCTAATAGAGTCCATCCCCTATCTCCTCCCAAACAAAATCCGGTTTAGAGGTCCATCCCCGCCCTGGCTGACCACACTGATAACACGAGAGTGGCTGACCTCTCCCCTGACTCTGGCTCTGAGATCGAGCCGAAGATGATGCTGCTCTCTGCACTCCTCCCCTC